TAATTTAATATTTAAATTTAATATCAATAATTGATAATTATTATACTAATAAAGTATTAACCAAAGGAATGGTATTAAACATTGTAACTAGTATCTTGGTTGGTTGTGATAATGGTATTGTGATAAGGGAAACTGCTCCGAGAGTGCYGTCTCCAGACGCTCGTAACTGTTTTCTGCCCCCCTGCCAAGAGGGTCTAGTACCGCCTATGGGTATAATAAGTTTGAATGATATTATGTATCTCAATAAGCAGTTTAGACACGCTCAATGCTATCAATATCAGAATTGGTGTATGAACTTCATTAATGCATTGTCGTTTAGTAGCAGGAATAAATGTGGATTTTTAAAATCAAAAGAATAATGTTTCACAAATCCTAATATTTTTAGAACTTTACTAATAATATTCTCTATATTATGTTGACGAAAATTTAGATAAAAAGAAAACATGACTCTTTTCATATTTTCCATGTATAATACGCCACGTGTTTAGTTACATTCATATACGTTGCTCTGACGATGACGTATTTCCATCACTAGTATAAGTATAACGTATATCAAACAAATCAACATTAGCGCAAAATTCACCGAGTATGTTGCGAAAAAAATTTTTTTTTAAATATACACCGAATAACAAAATAAACTCAATACATTATGTGAAGAATATGTAAATGGGGAAAGAGATATACCAAATTTTTTAATAGCAATAGCATTCGATATCTATAATTTATTTTTATTATTATAATTGGAATTTGAAATATAAAATACAAAATTTAAAATTTCTACTATCCTTGGCGCACATGTAAGAAAGAAAACAAAAATAATGAAAATAATCCTCCGCCGCCGCCGGACTTGAAAAACGCAAAACCACGTTTTCGTTTCTATTTGAATAGTAGAAGTAGGACGATATTATGACAGCACGATGGTGGTAGATATTTTTATGGAAATAAAAAAAAAATCCAASTACCAATAGTACCAACTAATAAATAATAAACGTACCTCTGGTGACGAGTGTAGAAGAGTCGGGAGACGAAACGAGCGTGAACGACAAGCACCTTGCCTCTCGAGTCGCGATACAAAAACTGAAGTGCAAACACTGAAAACTGATAAATGCAGTGGCCAGCGGCGCACGCAGCACTGCAACCGGTGAAATTACAAAACTSTGGTGGTGGTTTTGTTGTTGTGGAATGTCTGCTGGAAATCGTACGCGGAGAGGATTGACGAACGAACGCGGCGCTCGGCATGCGCAGCGGACACGAAGGCGTTGCTCTTACCGYGACACACCCGCCGACGACGACTTACGGGACCGACTGGACCGAGGCAACGGTGAACGGACGCGACGACGATCGTGTTTCGTGTGAAATTAAAAATAATAATAAGATATTCTTGTTTCATAATAATAATATTATTGAGAGGATGTCAGCTCCAAAAATTTTTGTTTTCCCTCTCAGCCCATAGCGCAACACGTCGTATTAAACACTGTCACGTACAATCGTTTAGTTTATTAATTTTAATTGATGATTTTACTCTAAAATTACTCAAGAACAACAATATTTATTTTTATTTACATTTTGTCCATGTCGTGGATGGACCAGAGATGATATTATAAAACAATCACTGACATCCACGTTCCACTTGAAAATTGAAATGCCCAACAAACAGTGCCAACAGTGGTGTTTCGTGTTCTGTGTTCTAGTGCTCAAGAGCACGTGAACTATCCCAAACAAAATTACATCAAAGTAGAGATTTTTTTAATTTCTTTAATAAACTATAGTTGGATTTTATGCGCATAGTCTGTAACATAAAAATTGTTTATCAAAAAGTCAAAAAATTCTATCGTGTTGACAATTTATTAGTGTACAATTTCGCGTGATTGTAGAAATATGAAATAATAGCTACATGCCTCGATACTTTGGTTAGTAAAATATGGTCTTTTGGAACATTCGTCGTGCGTGCAGCATCACAAACTTTGAATACGCATTTTCTTCCCAGCCTACACGGGAATCTTATTAAATAATTAATATGTTCATGCGAATTTCACGTATTGTAAAGACGGAGACAACTAAGACCCGTGTAACTTCCTATTAATTTAAAACTTTAATATTTATGAATTGTGAAATTGACAAATGAAATGTTATTCTCAAGTCATTTCAATAGCTGTTCATCGTGGAATTGTAAATATAATCATCAAGAATTATAATAACCGGCAAAAAAATAATAAATTTACTTACTTTAATTTACTAACCAAAAACGCATTAATATTTGTCGAAGTCGCAAAATGAATTTAACGGTATATTTGTATAATCAAATAAAAAATAATTGTAGGCAGCAGTATTAGCTCACTAAATATTTATAATACAAAATATTAAATCATAAAATATATGATATTAACAAACCCGTGTCAAATAGTTATAAAAATTGAACATTAAAAATAATATGTTTTCACATTTGGCAGTCTTAGCCTATAGAAGTATAAATAAAACAATATTTTCCAGTTCAATTTTACTTAGAAAAATGATGTGATTAAAAAAAAAAATTTAAAGTATTTTAAAAGATTGAAATCTGCATTATTAAAAAACGGCGGATAAATCGTGGATGTCGCTCTGTAGGTTACTGTAATGGATGGGATTAAATTTGAGTGCAATGATACTATGATAGGTATCATTGTATACGAAAAACGATTCTGAACGGAGATGATTTGTCAGTCTAGGATATATTATATTTTAATATTGTCATATATTCTATTTTGAAATAAATATTTTATTTT